GGGGAGTCTGCTTCTCCCTCTGACCCTCTTCCCTCTCATGCTCTCTATCTCTCATTCTCTCTCTCTCAAATAAATAAATAAATAAAATCTTTAAAGAAAAATAATGAAAACATTTGAATTACTGCGAGAATTACCAGAATGTGACACAGAGACACAAAGTGAGAAAATTGCTATTGGAAAAAGGGTGCTGATATCCTTGTTCAACACAGGGTTGCCACAAACCTTCGACTGGTAAAAAAAATACAGCACAATAAAGAAAAGTGCAATAAAATGAGGTGTGCCTGTCCATTTCTAACTGTTGTATGCCTTTCTAAATAGCTTTATCCTGCTCTTTCCACACAACATGAGAAGTGTCACTCATGCCTTTAAAATTCCTTCAAAAATCCTAACTCCAGGGGCGCCTGAGTGGCTCAGTTTACGTCAGACTTTTTTTTTTTTAAGATTTTATTTATTTATTTGAAAGAGAGAGTGATTGAGAGAGAGAGAGAGCATGAGCAGGGGGAGGGAGAAAAGCAGACTCTCCTGCTAAGCAGGGAGCTAACACGGGGCTCGATCCCAGGACCCTGGGATCATGACCTGAGCCGAAGGCAGACGCTTAACCGACTGAGCCACCCAGGCACCCCTAAACATCCAACTCTTGATCTCGGCTCAGGTCTTGATCTCAGGGTCATGAGTTCAAGCCCTGCACTGGGCTCCACGCTGGGCACTGAACCTACTTAAAAAACAAAATCCCAACTCCACGCGTGTGGAACTTTCCACATGAGGGACTGAGGATAATTTCCTTATAAATACCTTACTGTCAAACATTCAGGTTGTCTCCAGTTGGTTTCAAAAGCTCTGAACACACACCTTTGAGGAACACATCAGTGTTTGCTCATTTGTCACCTCCCTACGATTTCCTGGAGGGGATGAGCAATTCATGTTGCTGCCCCTTTCACCACAACATGACCAGCAATGCGTTTCAGGTTTTTTTTTTTAAATATTCAAAATAGCTTTGGTGTTAAGTGCATTTTGTTCTATGCAAATTCTCTGAAATCTGTATTCATGGCACAAATTCTCTTACCACTAGACATTTTATAGATTGAACTTGAGAAATTTGTTTCTGGACCTGAAAATAATACAGAAATTCCAACTGAATTGGAAATTCCAAGTAGACTTTGTAGTCTAATAAACGTTGTAGTTATTTGTGCAGATGAATGAAAGTTTAAGGATGACTATCAACATTCATAAACATTAACGACTACCCAAAACTATGCATTAGTAGGAAGATCACAGGCTAAGAAGTAGGAGGTATAGGTTCTAAACCCTGAGTATCTTCACAGCCTTAGACAAATCACTTAACCTCCACAGCTTCAACCTTTTTTTTTGAGCTATAACGGACCTATAATATTGTATTAGTTTCAGGTTACATAATGATTCGGTATCTGAATATACTATGAAGTGGTCACCACAGTAAGTCTACTTCCCAGCCAATACCATATATAAAATCTGGAGCGCTTCATGAATTTGAGTGTCATTCTTGGGCAGTGGCCGCACTGAGCTCTGCACCATTGTACTTTTTAGTATACGTGCTGCCACGGCAAACATGGATTTTCATTTCTCATGGCTTCTGCCAGTGTAACAGGCCTGCCGTTCATGTTAAAGAGGCCTATACGACTAATCAAATCTGAGTGAGGGTCACCCTTGAGAGAAGGCAAGACTCCCCCGATAGACTATTTTCTCCATCTTGGACCAGGCTATGCTTGAAGAAAAGATCAAGGAGGAAAATCATTTCTGAAAGCCCTTAAGACTCTCTTACCTTCTTGGTGTCCCATGCTTGCTTAGAAAGATTCTTATCTGTCTCCGATGTGGTTTCCTCCATTCCTGGAACTGTTAATAGTAAGACTGGGGTGGGGTGGGGTGGGGTGGGGGAGAGAAGGATGAATCAGAACCTTTTCACTCTGAAGCTATGTGGCACCAAAGGGGGAGCTTCCCCAACATACACAGTCATGATCGTGACACAGGTACTTACTGCCCCAACAGCAACTTCTGGGGGTTGCACTCAAGTCCAACAAAGGGTTTCATTCAGAGCAAAACAAAACAAAACAAAAAACTTTAAAAAAAGTAAGTAAGGGGGGCGCCTGGGTGGCTCAGTTGGTTAAGCGACTGCCTTCGGCTCAGGTCATGATCCTGGAGTCCCGGGATCGAGTCCCGCATCGGGCTCCCTGCTCAGCGGGGAGTCTGCTTCTCCCTCTGACCCTCCCCCTCCTCATGTGCTTTCTCTCTCTCTCACTCTCTCTCTCTCAAATAAATAAATAAAATCTTTAAAAAAATAAAATAAAATAAAATAAAAAATAAAAAAAGTAAGTAAGGGACGCCTGGGTGGCTCAGTCGTTAAGCGCCTGCCTTCGGCTCAGGTCATGATCCCAGGGTCCTGGGATCGAGCCCCCCATCGGGCTCCCTGCTCGGCAGGAAGCCTGCTTCTCCCTCTCCCACTCCCTCTGCTTGTGTTGCCTCTCTCTCTGTGTCTCTGTCAAATAAATAAATAAAATATAAAAAAAAACCAACACCCAAAAAACAAAAAAACAAACAAAAAAAAGTAAGTAAGTGGGGGCGCCTGGTTGGCTCAGTTGGTTGAGGGTCCGACTCTTAGTTTTGGCTCAGGTCAGGATCTCAGGGTCGTGGGATCGAGCCCTGCGCTGGGCTCCATACTCAGTGGGGAGTCTGCTTGGGATTCTCTCTCTCCCTCTCCTCCTGCCCCTCCCCATGCTTAAGCATGAGCATGCTCTCTCTCTCCCAAATAAATAGGTAAATCTAAAAATAAATAACTAAGCCAGAGACCCTGTGACTTAAAAAGACATGAAAATAGGAGCTCTGGAGCTAAGGACATGTATTAATTCTGCCTCCCATGGGACCGACTCAGGCCTTGGAGGTCAGCAGAGAAATTCTCCGGGCCTCCTTGCCCCACCTGCCACCTTGTGGTCACCTGCCTCCTAGCCCATGATGCTCAACGTTGGCCAGGGGTTGGTTGATCTACTCATTGTAGCTGCAGCGTATGAATTAGTTGCAATGTCAGCCAGCCCCACAGGAGGAGAGGAGGGGAGGGAAGGTCTGAGGGACTGAACGGGCATCCTTTAAGGCCCTGGAACCAGCTGTGCCTGAAGGCCCCTTTCTTTGGACCTTTTGGTTAAGGTGAGATTAAACATTATCTTTATGAGACCCGGTTTCTTTATGCGTCTTGAAGGTTCAGTCTTTCACTTGCAATAGAGCCATTACTGAACACAGACAGATGGGTCAACTCCTCCTTCTTAAAACCCAGAGAGACCAGCTGTGGTGGGTGGGAGGGCAGCCAGGCTAACCCCCCACCCTGTCACTGCTTGGGCCCCTCCTAGAGAAACAGGGGCAGGTGACCGGTCTCCCCTCTCTCCACCCCGAGGACAACTGGACTCTGAGCTGCCAAGGGCCCCTGGGTTGCAGCTCCCTTCCATGGTCACAGATTCCCGAGGGATAATGACGCTTGCCTTGGAAAGCCTACCTTGAAAGCCACCTTCCTGGGGAACCCACCAAGGAGACAGCCCCCTCAGCATGGTTCCCAGTACTGGGGACAGGAGGGAAGCACCAGGTGCCCTGTGTCCTCTTCACCCCCGGAGCATTTGGAATCCTCACTTGTATTATGGAGACAGTTCCTTCTGCAATCTCACCTTCACTGTCTGATGAGCAGGGATCCCGGGAAGATGGCATGTGCACAGCCCCCGCCCAAGGGGTGAAGCTCTGGTTGATAATCCTTATTCTACCAGCAGAACCTCCCTGGTATATTTACATGTTCACACAGTGCAATGCTACCCAAAAAACTGTAAGTGTTCAGACCTTAACTGTGTGTGATTAATTCTCTGGTTTCTGCGTCTCTGGGCAGATCAAGCCCGGGTGGGGTTTGCCACAGCCTTACAGCACTGTGTTCCCCTCTCTGGGTAATGCTGCCCCAGTTTTTACGTTGGCATCTACCCTCCCACAAGGGCCCAGGAAAGCTGGTCTGGATCCTGCGCCCAGCTCTGGGGAGAGGCTGGGGGCCTGGGCCCAGATCTGCCCTAGCTACTACTGTAGGGGTGTACGCACAGCCCAGTCAGAGAGGAGATTAGGAAAGAGGTGGGAAAGAACGGGCCCCATTTCCACCCACAGTAGGCAGAATGGGTCCAGGGACTGTGAACCACGAGGGTTCTGAGCTGCAGAGCCAGGAAACGGTCCAGCGTTAAGGCCTGAATTGAGTTACACCTAAAGCTGAACATCTAGCTCTAGACTGCTTGGTCATGAGCTGATAAATGCCTCCTTTTGCTTGGGCTGGCTGGCCCCTACAACTGCAAAAACCAGCAAGGCCCGCATACTGTGTGGCCATGCCCTGAATCCATGAATGGAAGCCAGTGTGTCTTTGCAGGGGCTGTTTTCTCTGCCCAGAAAACTCCTATGCACTCTTCAAAACCCAACTCAAGCAGCACCATTTCTGAACATGTTCAAGCCTCTCCCCTTGTCCCATAGCACCCACTGACTCTTCCTTTGCAGGTCTGTCCACCTAAGAGCTTGTGACCTCTGGGAACACAGGGGCCACCCACTGGACTCGTGTGACCCAAGGAAAGAAGCCCACGTGCCCTGTCAGTACCTCTTTTCTGGTGTGCATCCTGGGACCCGCCTGTAAAGGGCTCTGGTTGGGTGGGTGTCATTGTGCTCTGGTGCAGGGCAGAGTCAGAATTGGTCCTGAGGAGAGGAGAGAGACAGTGAGCCTAGGCCCCAGTGGGGACGATGGGATAATCCTGGCCCCGCTCTAACCAGGAGATGCTCAGTGGGACAGGGTGGGAATAGTCGGTCATACTTGTGAGCTGTTAGACCTGCATAAAACCCCAAGGACACTGTTCTCAAAAGAACCACAGGAGTGACCGTGAGTTTCATCTGCAAAGCCCGCTGAAGACAAAAAGCTGCTGTAGCAGAGATGTCCCTCCACTCCTAACCAGCCCCTCCCCACTCCCACCCTGTCCGTGGGCTTCTCAGCTTTGGGGGAAAGGATGGCGCCTTCCTGCTGAAACTCTCTGGACAGATGGACCCACAGTGGCCCAGCCTTGGGGGTACAAGTCCCAGCCCATCACTGGGTCCCCTTCTGGTGACAAACACCAATGGGCAACCATGCCACCCCAGGATGCTCAGTTGCAAACCAGGTGTAATGAGCAAAAAGGAGAGGCAGTGACAGAAGGCTCGAAGAACGACCCAGAAAGAATGCAGCCCCTTGAAAGCTGCCAGGAGCTCTGCCTTCTGCACCAGCGATGGAGTAACTCAATGTACTCCCAGCTGCAGGTGCCTGGAGGGATGGTCCCCAGAAGAGCCCCTCAGGTACCCAGGAAACTGTGGGCAACCAGGGGAGCTGGGCAGGTCCAAGCCACATGGCTGGCAATCTGGGAATGAAAGTAAGAGCAGCATGAATCCAAAAGGGACATCCTAGCTACTGAGAGTTGACAGGGAGGAAACTTAGTTCAAGGAGATGAGCAGGTTACAAGGGATTGGGTCAGCTGACTCTGACCCTGGGGCCATAGGAGCAGTGAAAAGCTGGTCTGGATCCTGGCCCCCCGCATCAGATGTATGTCCCTGAGCAAGTCTTCTGACCTCTCCATGCTCACTTTCCTTTTATCTAAAATGTGGAGAATAAAAGCACCTACTCCACAACGCTCTGTACATTTTATATCAGTTAATGAATATGATGGTTGAAATTGGGCCTGATATATAATACATACTCAGTAAGAGTTTAATTATGTTATTGAATGATACATTACATGACATATCATACTTCATATATGTGGGGTTTTTTTTTTTTTTTTACAACTCACTTTTGGTCTTTGGTGAAGTCACCTACATATAAATTTTTTTATGTATGGTAAAACAGAAGTAACAAAGTTTACTGTTTTAACCATTCTTAAGTATACACTTCCGAGGTATAAGTATATTCACACTGGTGTGCAACCATCCTGTTATTTGCTGTAGGTGTTAATATTAACTACACTATTGTTATTTTAGACCTCTGTAGATGATGGCACTATTGATTTTTTTTTTCCTCTTCTAGGTACACTTGTGTATTCCTAATCTTCTGGTAATAAATGTATAATACTTTTATAATCACATTTTCAGTGACTCTTCACCAATGTGAGAAACCATTCATAATATAGCACTAAATGAAAAAAGGCAAGTTTGGGGCGCCTGGGTGGCTCAGTTGGTTAAGCGACTGCCTTCGGCTCAGGTCATGATCCTGGAGTCCCGGGATCGAGTCCCACATCGGGCTCCCTGCTTGGCAGGGAGTCTGCTTCTCTCTCTGACCCTCTTCCCTCTCGTGCTCTCTATCTCTCATTCTCTCTCTCTCTCAAAAAAAAACAAATAAAATCTTTAAAAAAAAAAAAAAAAAGAAAAAAGGCAAGTTACAATACTGAATATCCAACCTAATCCCAACTCCGTCTATAAAAGAAAAAAAAAATCCCTGGAAGACTCCAAAAGCTATGACCTTGGCGTTACACGGCTAGAGATGATTTCTAGAAATTTCTGGATACTTCTTAGTTTTGTCATTTTAAAGTGACTGCATATTGGTTTTCCAAGCACAAGCATGATGTAAGTTTGTTTTTGTTTCCAACAAGAGGGCTGAGGGCCGGTTCTGGGTCACTGACCTTCTCCAGCTGGTGTCCGCGGGTGGCGAGAGGTACACGGTACCGTACGGGCAGCTGTCCGCTTGAGTGTGAGTTAAGGGGACAGCACTGTTGGCTCAGGCCCCACCCCGAGCCCCAGGAACCTTGTGGCCAGGCTGCTGGGAGCCTGCAAACAGCTGGGGCCGCAGGGCGGGGGCCTTTCCTGCCTGGCTGCAAGCAGCCCCCGGGGTTCGGCCTGTCCACCTAGCACTCAGCACTCACCCCCTGCAAGCACACGTGCGGGCTGCGCCCCTTCCAAGAGGGGCCTCGGCTGTGAAACTGGGGCCTGTGGGGGGCAGTGGGGAGTCTCGTTCAGCTGACCTGGGTCTTGACTCTTTAATTCTAGGCCGACAGGGCGGCTCCCGGGGCCCGAGGGCTCTATCTGGGGCCCAGCTGGTTGGGCTGCCCCAGCCATGGGAATGAGAAGTGGGAAATAACAGGCTTCTCTGTTCTCGAATGCTGGGGGGTCCCAAGAGCAGCCACTCAGACTCTGGTTATGCGGGGGGGGGGGGGGGGGGGGGTGGCTGGCCAAGCACCAAGAGGCGGCCAAGTCTTGGGAGCAGGGGAGAAACTCCCAACGATCTCTGCTTGGCCAAGGTGCAGAGGAGAATTCTGTGTCTTCAGATGGAGCCTCCCTTGGATCTGTCTGGGTCTGGCTCAGACCCCCCTCAGCCCGGCTGCCTGGGCTGGGCTGCCCTCTGCATGGCCCCAACATGTGGACAACCTGCTCACAGCTTTTCTGGGTTCCACTGCCGCCAGGCGTACAACACAGTGTGGGTCCGACCTTACCTTCCCCAACCCTCCCCGCAGGCTGCATGCTCCAGCAGCCCAGGGCCTCTGTCCCCGTGTGCCCCTGCCCTAGCCTAAGGCTCTTCAGCTATCCACACTGCCTCTGCCAGGGTTGCCTTGCAGCTGTGCCCTCCCTCAGTGCTGGCCCGGGAGTGCTGGAGGGCTGGGGCAACCCCTATTCCAGCTCCAGAGCTGGCAGCTCAGTCACCTAGACTCCGGGTCCTGCCGTCACCAACAGCCCCCCTCCGTCCTCCGGGTAAAAGATATCTGCCGTCCGTGTTTGTCCACTGACAAGGGCCGGCGATGTGGGGAGCCCAGCCGGCCACGCTCTCGGTATACTCTGTCCACCAGCCCGTGGTGCCGGGTGGTTCGGCTGGTGTCCAGGCCCGAGGACTGGAAGGGTGTCTGGGCGGGGGGGGGGGGGGGGGGGGGGGGGGGGGGGGGGGGGAGGTGTTGGGGAGAAGGAGACCAGAAAAGAGAGAGAAACCCAAACAGTTATCAGCCGTGGCCTGAGATCCAATGCAGCTCTGCCCCCAGGATCTGACCTCAGGGCCCACCCCCGCCACTCCTGAGACACCCTTTGTCCCCACTCTGCCGCCCAGATGGGCTTCCTCCTGCAGCCGGGGCCCCCCAGCCTCTGAGCACTGCCAGGGTAGGGGCGAGCTGGGGATCCTGGGTGCCGGGCGGCAGGCGTGCAGTGCGGCTGGCATGCACGGGCCAGGCAGCGCAGCACAAGCTCGGGGCCCGGTGCCGGCTGGGGTGCCAGGGGTGCAGACGGCCCAAGCGCCCCCCAGCCTCGCCAGGTGCAAACAGGCCTCCGCCTTCTCTCCCTGGGCCTGGCTGGCCTCCTCTCCCCACCTACGTCATCCCTGGAGGGGCCTGCCAAAAGACAGCCCCCAGGGCTTCCAGCCGAGGACGTCAAGGGGCCCACCTGGCCAAGTGCTGGCTCCCCAGAGGCTCCTTATTGAGCCCTGGCCGGTCTTGATTGAGATGAGCCCCCCACGCCCTCCCCCACCACCTCATCCCTTCACCACTGAAGCCAAGTGCAAGCGCTTTCCGGAGCCCTGGCCCACAGCTTGGCCGGAAGGGGCTTCCTTCCAGCACCTGGGGCTGGCACGAGGCCTCCGGCCAGACCTTGCTCCCTCTCCCAGCTCCATGCCCCTGGGGCCCCTGGGAGCCTGCTCCCTGCCTGCCCTGGTGCCATGGGGCCCCTCGCCATCTGACTGGGGCGAGACTGGCAACCTTAGCCAGCTCTGGAGGCAGCCAGTCCTCCCGCCCCACCATCTGGCCCTTGGGCTCTTCTGTCTTCTCTGGGCAGCCAGGCAAAAGCAATTTCCTTCCGGAAGACTGCCACTGGCTGGACTCACTGCTCTTCCCTACCCGTCTGAACGCCTGGGCCAGTGTTCAGGGCCGACAGCTCTCCCTGGAGTCTGGGCCCCCCTGTTTCTCTCTGGCCCAGATAGAATCCTGCCAGCTTGGGTCTTTCTGCACTTTTGCCTCCAAAAGGCCTTGGGACTGGAGACTTCAGTGACTGAGGGAAGGTGGGAACCTTGCCATCCAGGCACAAACACCGGAGAGCAGGGGCTGTTCATCTCCTCCCAGAGATGCCTAGAAGGCCGGGGGGTGGGGGGTGGGGGGAACCAAGGGAGCTGAAGCAGAGCCAGAGGCAGAGAGAAGCTCGGGCCCGGCCACAGCCTGGTTCACCAGGCTGTACCTGGGATCCACACACACATACATGTGCATGTGTCACAGGAACGAACCATGCAGCATTGATGCCCATGCTCGGATCCCCCAGGCGGGGGCCTCTTGACGCAACTAGACGCACTTCCCCACACAGGGCAGGGGGAGGTGCAGAGTGGATCCACTTCCGTTTGGCAGACAGGACACTTCCCGCCAGGCCACTGGGGCGACCACGCAGGGATACCCAGCACCCGCGCACGTGCCAGGGACGCCGAGGCCTCAGCCCAGGGGCTCATTTACCAGAGAGACAGGAGCCGCTGCCAGGGCCTCCCCCAGATATCCGCTGGGCTGAAAATGCAAAGAACCGATACTTTGAGACACTCCTGCCTCGTCCGGCCCCCCAGCGGGATGCCTAACAGGTCCCAGGATACCCTTGGCCCGAGGAGGCTCTACGCCAGCCCTAGCCAGGGCCATACTGGGGGGGCTGCCCAGAGAGATGCTCCCTTTGAGGGAGAAGGGGATAGGGGAAACAGAGGAAGGGGAGAGGCAGGAGGAGGGGAGAAAACTCAAACTAGGATGGGCCTTGACAAAGAGGTCAGGGTCTTGGAGCACATTCAGGATAGGCGCAACAGCCCCATGTGTCTGCTCCAGCAAGGAGGCCATCTGAGGAGGGCCATGCTCCAAGGAGCCCAGGGGATGTGGAGCTGAGCCAGGTGGACCCTGAGCCAGCCTAGGGGACCCCGGGCCAGTGCCCTCCTATATCCCAGCAGTAGTGTGGGAGGAGGAGGAGCTGAGGAGTGACTCGGGTGGGTGGGGGACTGAACTCCATGCAGGACGGGCCTGGCTCCACCTGGCCTGTCAACACATGGACAGACGTGGCTGTTTCTGAGGCCCTGTCCCAGAAAAGGGGCGGGTGTGTGGCTGTCTGGTGGACCCGTCCCTACAGAGCCCAGACAAGCTGGGGGTGGCCCCGGCGCCCGGTCCCATTCCCAGGCCCACCTCACCCCTGCTTCCACCTGCAGACCAGGGTCAGGGCATAGCCTAGGGTAAGAGGCCAGCCCGGCACCCAGGCGGTGGGCCTTATCTCTCATTATTTATGATAAGGACGTGCACGGCGGCTGTGTGGCCTGCGGGAGCCGCGTTGTGTGCGTCTCTGCCAAGAAACGTTTGCAGACAAGTGGGGTCAGGCCACAGGGCCTCCTTCTGAGAATTGCTGGGCTTGCGGATTAGTGAGGCAGGATAGAGCCAAGCCCCAGAGGCCCCGAGCGGTTCCCGATGCCGCACAGCCGGCCAACAGGTGTAGCGGCTGCCGAAATGCTCTTGGCCAGACCACAGCCTCACTGTGGGCTCTGCTGACAGGGGACAGGCAGGGGGATCCAGGCAAGGCCTGGCCAAGCCTTCCCAGGGACAGGAAAAGAGTAGGTGGGGGCGGGGGGAGGCGGGCTGCTGCAATTATCTGGTGACCCCAGCTATCCGCAGTGGCCAACACACACGCTTGCTCGCTCTGTGGCCAGGGTGGGGCCCGGATATGACGTGCACCAGGTGGGAGGCTGTTGGGGGGGGGCGGGGGCTCACCTGGAAGGGCAGATCCACGGCGCCACTCCCGATCTGGTTCACGTTGGGCAGGGACCCACCGTAGTACTGGCCACGGCTTGGGCCCAGCTGCAGGTACTGAGACTTCTGGAGCTGGAGCTGCAAGAGAAGCCAGCAGCTGCAGTGCGGGCCCAACAACTTCCCCAGCACATCAGAAGAGTGCCACCCCAGGGGGCTCCCAGAAAGGAACTAAGCGATGGTCAAGGGCACCAGCCACGGAGGGTATGGGACCCTGTGACTCAGATACTCAAAGGAGCCAGGTGTCTCTCCACCCAAAACAGCAGAATCAGAAAGCCAAGGTGCTCCAGGCAGCTCTCCCTAGGCAGGGCAGCGGGCCCTGTGCGGAACTGCCTCCATGAACCTGGGGGAGTCTTGCTGATTCACATGCATGGTTTGTGAATGAGCAACAGAGTATCGGGCAGACCTGGAGCCTAGAGCCTGTGGAGGCGGCCCCTCACCCACCCAGGGGAGCCATTTCTTATCACAGCCAAAGACTGCGTTCCCGGGGTGCAGGCCAGAGGCTGTGAATGGATGCCCGGACACAGGAGGAATTGTTTTTCCAATGGCCTGAAGCAGAGGGACCGTCTCAGAAGCACAGCGCTGACTTTCAAAGTGCATGATGTGTGATCTCTCTGGGAGCACACACAGGACAAGCCGGTCGGCCAGACCCTGCCCGAGTGCTAAGGGGGCCTGCCCAAGCCCCCAGGCTCCTTCTGCTTCTCTTGCTGGCCTCCCTGGAGCTGGGCCCAGTGGAGGGCCTTCATCTGGGATGGCCCAATGTCTGCACAGACCTCCACCCGTCACTCACATGGGGATATGTCCCACTGGGCCACACCTCAGACCCAGGAGCCCAGCTCCCTGACTGGCCGTGGCTGCCTCGAGGTGAGGCTGGGACCTGGCCTCCTCTCCCCTGAATAGCTGATTCCACTTTCCTGGGAACAACAGATGTCCCTGGCATGGTCAGCGCCACTCGTGGCCCTCAGGGCTGAAAGTCCACGACGCCTGTCCCACTCCCCTTGGGAGGCAGGCGTCGTGTCCGAGGGGTGGTGGCTGGGCATTCAGGGAGGATGGGCGTCCATTCTGGCCTGGGCTGGGGCGGTTGCTAGGGTCGACACTGTGTACACAACAAGGCCGGCTCACGTTCCCTCACAAACAGCTCCTGGCAGCGCTCCGTGAGCTGGCTGCCCGCGCCGCCCTGCTCTCCCACGCCGGCCCCTGCTTCCTGGGGGGCCTTGGATCCTGGAGGGGGAAGTGAGGCTCGGGAACTGGCCGCCCGCCCAGCAGAGCACCTCACCCAGGTAAACAGCTGTTTCCTGCGAACTGCGGTGGAGTCAGGAGGGAGACTGACCTTGTTCCATCCTTCCCGGGTGGTTCTTGGGGTCTGCGGGGCCCGCCCAGGATCTGTCTCCAATGGCTGGAGACCTCACTGGGAACACCCCACTGTGTCCCTCCCACCCTACAGTCATGCGAGATGAAACAGGCCAGCCGCCGGCCAGGGGAAGGGGGAGACCAAGCAGGGTGGGGCCCCCACCCCTGCCTGGGCATAAGTCACCTCAGACCCAAGACACCCACAGGCTTCCTTGTGGCAGAAGCCTGCATTGCATCCAACTCTCAAGAACCATGTGGCTGGGGCGCCTGGGTGGCTCAGATGGTTAAGCGTCTGCCTTCGGCTCAGGTCATGATCCCAGGGTCCTGGGATCGAGTCCCGCATCGGGCTCCCGGCTCCTTGGGAGCCTGCTTCTCTCTCTCGCTCTCTCTGGCTCTCATGAATAAATAAATAAAATCTTAAAAAAAAAAAAAAAAAAAAGAACCATGTGGCCCCCCACTTCGTGGCCTCGGTTTCCCCTCCCATTTGTCCAGGAGTAGGTGGGAATGCCTGCCATGTGACACAGGAAGTGCTTACACCACAGGATGAACTGCCAGCTCAGGGAGCCCGAGCATCCTGTCCAAGCACTCCACAAAGCTGCCATGTTCCAGGCCAGAAAGAGCCTGGTGTTGGGGACGATCTACAGGACTGGGCACTGAGAAGATGCTCGTGCTCGCATGCTGCTGCTAACACCACCCCTCCCAGGCCCCACCTCTGTCTGAGCCTTTCTAGCAACAGCCTCCCACCCACCTCCTCACTTTGCTACAGGACTGTCAGGCTTTGGAGAACAGCCTCTAGGTCTGGAGTGGAAGGTGTGTGGGGCCCTGCACTTCTTTTGGGGGACCCTGTGCCTGTCCCTGGTTGCATATTGGCAGCGCAGGAAAGTGTCCACCTGGCCTAGAGAAGTCTGGCCTTTGTCCTCAGCTCCTGAGAGGTGGAAGCCCTCTGAACATTCTGCCTGACAAGACTATCTTTGTTTGCCTGGGGTCTTGGGCCACACTGGGTGGTCTACGCCAACAGTGTGATTTAGGGTAGGGGTCTTAGGCCACGTTGAATCAGCTCGCCCCCTGCAGGGGCTAGAGATGGAGATCTCCCGTGTGGCAGTCAGCCAGGTCCATGTGAGTGAGCTCCAGTAAAAACCCCGGACACCGAGGCTCAGGGAGCATCCCTGGACGGCAGTACACCATGCGAGTCGTCACACACCGGTGCTAGGAGAAGAGAAAGCTGTCCACAAGACTCCACAGACAGGGGACACCCAGAAGTTCCATGCACGGAACACCCTGGGTGTCTCCACCCCAGACACCCCTTCCCTTTGCCGACTGTAACCTGTGTCCTTTTGCTTGTCATAAACCCTGTGAGCCTAACAGCTTCCAGTGAGTCCTGTGTCTCTCAAGTGACCTGCTGATCTGAGTGTGGTCTTGGGGACCCCCTAACTTTGAAGGAGCTGACTGCCATCCCAGGCCTTGCCAGGAACCCCCAGGAGCAGGGTACCGAGGTGAGAAGTGGGGCCCTGCCCAAGAACCTGCTGCTCACAGGGTCCATGGGAAGGAAGGACAGCAGAGTGACCCCATCAGGCAGGACCTGATGAGCTGCTGAATGTTGAAACTCAAGCCTCTTCCTATTGCCAAGTCACAGCCCTTCGTGCATCCTTCCACCCAGCGGTCCTCACTCTGTGCCCCCCACAATGGCACTTGTCCCTAACCTCACCAACAGAGCTCCGCAAACCCAGCATCCAAGCCAGGGCTGTCGCTCAGCAGCATCTGCTCATGGAACAAATATGTGTATGAACACGTGAGTGAGTTAATGAATGAACACCGCTGTTCCTGCTCTCAAGGGCCGACTTTCACAAGCCAGGTGACAGGCCCATCTGGAGGCCACACAAGCGCCTTTCTGAAGGCCAACACAGCTTCCAACACAATTAGAGGCTCGAGGTCAAAACAGGGCTTGGATGCCTCCCCCCACCCCCACCCCATCCTCACAGGCTGCTGGAAAGGGCAGTGCAGAGAGGCCCAGACAAGGCCGTCAGGTGCTGGAGGCCACGTGCTCGAATAGGAGACCTGCATCTCTCAGGGCTCCCCCTTGCTTGTGGCCTGTGGTCGGATATCCCGGAGTAGGAGTCCCAGCCTCCCGACTATGAGAGTGGGCCCCACTCCAGATTCAGAGGGCCTGGGCTGAGGGTGGGTGGGTGCCCCATTACCCATGCTTTTGCCATAACCTACCTTCTGCTCTCCCCACTCCTTGGCCCCAAAGCACCCTGAGTTTATGAACCTCCAGGGCCTTGGCCTGTGACAGCCCCCCTTCCATGCCCATCCCACAGGGGCCTCCTTGACACCCACCCAAGGAGTAGCCCCTCCAAGTCACTATCACATCAGCCTCTAGCTTGGTTTGTATTGTTTTTAATAAAGCTTTCATCACAGAAGTTTCAGATTTACAGAAAAACTGCAAAGATGGTACACTGTTCCCCAACACCCCTCAGCCAGCTTCCCCTAAAGCCACCCTTCTGCCTTACTGGGACAAAATTAGGAAAGTGGCGGTGTTGCGGCACACCTGGCTGATCCAGACCCACTTGTGTGAAGCTTCCAGTGTGCCTCATCAGGTTTGCTGCACTGGAAATACCCTTGCTCCAGGACCATGTCCAACATTCCTATCTGGTCCCCACCAGATGGCGGGGACCCAAGACTCATGGTCTTCTGGTCACACTGTGTCCAGTGCCAAGACTGTGCGTGGTCATGCTGGACCCTCAGTAAGTACTACCACGTGTCTGCCTTACCTCCCACCAGCCTGCTGCAGCCTCGGATCTTTCCAGAACAATATTCCCAGTCCATGCCTCTCAAACCCTCTTGCTCTCAGGTTTGAACCGACTGAGCAAGCAGCATCAGGCCCTAGGGGTCAGAGGTATCTCAGGGTTGACGCCATCCACGATCGATGGCCACGAAGCTCAGCACAGACCTTGGCCACCCTGCGCTCAACGTTTCCCCACGCCAAGCATTACAGATGGCACCCCAGGTGTCCCTGAGCCCCCACCATGGGCACAGAGCCCTTCCCAGCACATTTAAGCTATCACAATAGTCCTACCTTCAGTGTCCCAGGGCTACCGCAACAAAAGACCATAAACAGGGTGGCTTAAAACAGTAAGAATTTACTCTCTCATGGTTCAGGAGACAGAAGGGCTGGGTTGGTTCCTTCTTGAAGCTCTGAGGGAGAGTCTGTCCCAGGCCTGTCCCAGCTCCTGGCAGCTCCAGGGCTCCTGGGCTTGTGGCCACATATATTCGGCCTCCACCTCCGTCCCCTCATGGCCTTCCCCTGCGTGTGCCTCAAATCTCCCTCTACTTTCTCTTATAATACCTATCACTGGATTCAGGGCCCACCCTAATCAAGAATGATCTCATCTTGAGCCCCTTAATTATATTTGCAAAGACCCTCCTGCCAATAAAGTCACATTCCCAGGTTCTGGGGTAAACACATGGACACAGGTTTGGGGGGATACAAGTCAACCCAAGAGAAGCCCTCTGAGGGGAGCACCAGCACACACCACTTTCCAGGTGGGAAAAGCGAGATTTGCCAGGCAAGGGAACTGCCCAAGGTCACCCAGCTTAGAAGTGGCTGAGCAGGGCACGGACTCCTCTTCTGGAATTTGACCCCTGCATGACCCTGCAGACCAGCAGGCAGCTGGTGCCACAGTGTGAGAGACCATGTGGCATCGTGGATGAGCGCACACCAGTTCCTCTGGGAG